CTATAACACCTCATCCCCTTTCACTGAAAGCCCTTGGTAGCCATTAATTGCTCCTCAATTTAGCTGCTACCACAAGGGTTAGGTCATGCTCAACCTACTTGCAGCCAAAGCATGGGATAGAGCCGTGCACCACCCAGAGCAGGTAAGGCAGTGCAGGGCAGCCTCCCCCTCCTCTCATCCCAGAAAAGGCAGCAAGCAACAGGAATTCAAAGGCAGATCTCCACACAGCTTTGCAAAGCCCTGGCCCAATTATTTCCTTTGTGCTCTCCTGTTTTACAGGAGATGATTCCATACATTAAAATGCTTGGAGGGCCTATAAAATGAAGCAGTTATTGTTGCAGCAAGCCATGTTCTGCACCTCTCAGCATGCAAAGATCAGGGAAGCAATCCCAGTCCCAAAACACTGAAAATTTTGCTGTATGTTGCTAAATACCACGCTTAAAGATTTTGTCTGGTATGAAATAACACAAAATTTGGCAGCCTTACACCAGGCACCCTGGCTCACAGCAGAGTATATGCACAGGCAGATTTTCCTCACAATGGCCACAGTGCTGCCAGTGCATTCCTGGAATGCAGAAATACATGGAAGCCACTGTCAGCGATGAAGAGAAGCCTGCTGTGCCTAATGCACCAGAAAAGCTATTCAAGAACTTGTCCTTACATAAAAATAGCTCCAAAGGGGCTGTGTCAGCTCAGCTGTGCAGCTCTGCAGGTATCTGTGTGCTATGCCCTGCACACCTGGCCTCACCCTGCACTCCTGGGAACAAACCCACTGGTTCTAAGTGAGGGATTTCAGTTCATCCCCTCATTTGCCCATTCATTTGACTCTTTGGGCCCATAGATTTCACAGCCGTGTAGAACTGAAATAATTCTGATTCAGATTGTACGAGAGAACATTGTTTGCTCTCCAGAGAATCACACCTGAGATCTCTGGGTGAGGAAGGACATGCACTTCCTCACCCAGCTATAATGAGTTGTAAACAGCAATTGCAGGTTTAAAACCCCAAATATCTGAAAGCTCCTTTTTTATATTGGTTGGAAAAGTACAGGGTAAACAAACAAACAAACAAACAAACAAACAACTCCACAACCCTGAATCTCCTTTGTTATAGGCGTTAAACACCTCAAACCCTATGATACAATCAAGGCAGCTGGCTCTTCCCAGATTTCAGAAATGGTGTTGCAACAGTGGGTTTGAATTCCAGAAGGTGAGCCCATAATGCAAACAGCTATTTCAGCCTCAGCAGTGCTTTGCAACGATGCTCTCAATAATGATTTGCAGGAATATTCTCCTGATGGGACAGAGAGCCTGTAATCACCTGCTGCATCACTACTGGCCCTGTCTGGAAAAGCAGCTGCCATAATTCTGTTGGTGTTTCTGATGTAACCCAACAGTTCTTAAAAAACAGTTGTAGCTCCCAGAAATCCTTCATGTTACATCACAAAATTACACTGAGTTTCAAGAACAGAATATTCATTTCATATCTCCTAAGCCTTCGAAAAAGAAAAATCAACCTTTAGAAAAAGAGCCTATGGCCAGCACTGCAGGGCAGGCTGGGGAGGGTTTGGAGTAACTTGGTTTATTAGAAGGTGTCCCTGCCTATGGTAGGGGATGGAATGAGATGGTTTTTAAAGTCCATTCCAACCCAAATCATTCTGGGATTCTTGAACTACTCCTGCTCCTTAAGGGCCATCAAATGAACATGCCTCTCTTGCAGATAACAAGCTGGTCACCAAAAGGGAAGTCAAGAGTAAGGAAACATTATCCTTCCCTCTGAATTTTCTGTGTTCATTCAGTTGTGCCATGATTTTCATGTCTGGTATTTCTCACTTTTTAATCCCTATAAAAATGATTACAGGAGTACTTATTTAAAGAAGGTACTGTGATGCTGAAAGGGCAAAGGCTTTCTGTCTTGAGAACCCATTTATCTGACACTCTAGCAGAGTCCCATGTGTAGAAACTCTCCTGGAACAGACATCTCAAATCAATAATTATTTCATTAATATCGCTTGTTCACCTCTCTCAGATATTTCATCCTGACAGTTCAGCTCTGTGATAAGCCCCATAAAATTCCAGTGTAAAAGGCTCCAAGCTCTTTCAGTAGCACAAACCCTGCAATGAATTCAATGGGCTCTCCCAGTAAATGCCTCAGAAGAGAATCCCTAAACCCAGTTTTCTTGGCAATGGGAGGCATCAGGAGCCAGGTTTGAGCTGTACCAAGAGCAGATGATGGTGGAGGTGCTTTGCTTGGGCTCAGGCACCAAAACCCATCCTCAATCTGCCAGGAATAAAAGGTCAGTCCTGAGAGAATTTCATCCTTCAGCATGCTGTCAATGAAGCAGGGAACACAAACCCTTTCTGTTCTGCCCACACTCTATGCAAAACCACTCCAGGAAGGTTTGCCAGCTCTGCAGCATCAGCCAGCCTAAACTCAGTCCTGCAGGAACAGCCTGTGGGCTCAGCCACCTCTGGGATCCATGGAAGATGCTCATTTTACTACCCACAAACCTCATATTTGACAGTGAAATCACAGGCAGAGTTTTCAGACAGCAAAACAATAGGAGTGAAACGTGTTGCAAATGCTGCATTTATCCTCCTGCATTTAGCAGCTGGAACCAAGAGCCACACAGCTGGGGAATCATGAAGATTCCAACCTTCAGGAACCATCATGGAGCACTCCCCCAGCTTCCAGCAAAGACTTGCTCCTCCTAAATCACTGCTTATTCCTCTGCCTCTTTTTCCAGGGTTTTGTTTTTTTTTTTCACTGAAATGCATCAACATTTCATGAACTGCCCCAAATCAAGGACAGTCTTGGACAAGTCATTTCCAAATCCTCATGGCCAAAATTACCCCACTGCCTAAGTCAGTATTTGAGCAGCTTCCTAGACTCAATTATCCAGAAAATGCCAGGTTTCCAACAGCAGATTTTAAATAGTAAGCCTTTGGTTACTGTTGCCCTAAAATAAAGCTCCTAAAACGTGTTTTACAAGTGTTTTTCTGCTCTCCAGTGACACCTGGAAGTGCTTGGGACTGAAGGAATATGCAAACTACAGATCAGATGCAGAAATCCTTATTTTCAGGCAATTTTAAGAAGCTTATTTCTTAGCTTTACGAGTTATATAAAAATACTACCCAGAAAAAAAAAAACTAATAATAATCAATTCTGTGAAAAGGAGAAAACAATCCTTGCCCTGACCCTTCCATATCTTGTGGAGTGGGAATCTATGGTTAAATTCCAAGTAATTGATTAAAAGAAAATCCATGACAGTCCTGATTTTATTTTCATCCCATGATTAAATACACATCATGCCTTCATTAGCAAAAATTACAGATGGGAATAAAACAGATGCCCAAAACACATCCTGCCAGAGTCCTTGAAAATTAAAATTTCCTTGAATTAACCCTACCTGATGCCAAAAATGTCACAGGCTTTTTACTGAGGCTGTTATCAGCAGTGCACTTTGAATCCTTTGTGCTACTATGCTAAAAAAATTTCTCTGTTTGGATTCCCAGTTCCATTTCCTAGCATTCCAGCTGGCTGCTGGGCAGGGGCAGAACACAGGACTACAACAAATGGTAACAAGCCCTTGCTTTTGGCACTCAGATTAGAACCCAACTCTGACCAAATATACAAAGAATCATTCTGGGACTGAATTTTTTCAGTACTGCTGACAAACCATTCTCCCAATTGAATATATTTCATTTTGCAAAAAAAGGTGCAGCAATAAGATTTCTATCTTGAAAACATCAACAGATGGATCACAGAGGGAGGACTCACCACTGTGCAAAAGAATGCCTTGATTCCTATCCTGGGAAAGGACTGGAAGTATTTATTGACCCTTAAAGATCTCCTAAGCCCTGGGAATGAGGAGAAGCATGGAAAGTAGGAGAAGCAATTCCCTGATAAGCAAACATGACCTTGCCTGTGAAACTAAACCTGATTGCCTAAGAGGGCCTCCTTGATGTTTGAAAGAACAAGTTTATTGTCACCTGCAAATGTGTTTGTCGAGGCATGAAGAAATCTCATTTTCCTGCCTTTCAAGCAACAGCAATATTCTGAGATTACAAAACAGAAGAAATGAAGGCAATGAAATTGAGCAAAAGGATTGCACAGAGAAGTTTAAAAAATACATATTAAAAAAAAAAAAAGGAACAAGGAATGGATAGTTATGCTTTGAATTCTTTTGGATTTATGCAGTTAAAATCCACCCTGAGAAATTCACTGGGAAACTTCATGTCATTGTGGCTCTAAAGACATTCCCATACAGCAGGTTAATAATGAAGGAGGCATATGTCACACACCAGAGGCTGCAACATCACACCTTTATGTATTCATGAGATCAGGGAAAGGAACTGACCAGGCATGAACACACTCAGGAAAGGGAGACTTAAAAAACTCCCTCTGTGGGAAAAGAGCTGAGCTACTTCAGAGGAGACACAATTATGCTAAGTCTGAAAATCTGAATTTAAAGTACCAACTGGTCCTTTTTGGAAAGTGCTGTGGATTTTGTGTTCATTTCCCTCCCTAACAGGCACCCTCGTGTTCATTAGAGAGCCAGCACTCACACTGCAAAAGCTTGTTCCCTATTCCACTGCACAAGAGAGAAATGAGATTTTTGCTTTGTAGGATACCTTTACCTCTATAGGTCACTGCTTACCAGCACAGAAATGAAATATCAGATAATTTTTATGTTTCAAACACAAATATCATTCAGTTATATTGGTCTCTGTACTTGGCACATCTGATTTTCCTCTCTCTTGCAAACTTGCAGCTTCTCTGAAACAAGTGAGGTTGTAGCAAGGACACAATTTATGGGCAAATTATGCAAAGCTGAAATGTTTCTAGGGCAATGTTTTATAGTCCCTTAGAGCTCCATACATAGTATTTTACTGTGCACTCCAAAAGCATTTATTTACAGACGTGTCTGAGGTTTTCTGTCAGGTTTAAAGTTCAGACTTTTCTCATCTAATCTAATTTGTCCAAGATGGATGGCCTCACTTTTTTCCTTTGGAAAACCAATGCTGTTACACTGTTTCCAATTCTTCCTCCAAAGCAAAACTTGGGTGTTGGCAGCTCCTCCAGAATTTCAAATCCTGCCAGACAGAAATTGAAATGCTTTTATTAGAAGGAAGTTGTTTTATTCGCCTCTTGGATAACCCTTTGCAAACCATTCTTTATTCGTCTGGAAAACTTGCAAGTCAGTTAATCTGTGAGTTTATAGGACTGTACTGTTACACTGCACCACTGCTCCATACAGCTGAAACTCTTCCATGGATAATAAAAATCCTAGCTGGCTGACTTGCACAAATTAATGGCAGAAAAGATGAGAACTTGCCAGTAATTTCGGTTCCCCAGAAGGGATGGTTGTTTCAGATCCACACTGAGTTTCAAGCCTCAGGCATGAGATTCAGGAGCTGACTGGCATGTAAAAAAACCCCTTAAGTGGATCAAAAGTGATAGAAAAGGTCACAGACTTGCCAGTTCCCCTAAACATGGGTAACAATGTTACCCCAATTTCGGAGCAATCAAAGGGTGAACTGGGTCTGGTAATCAAGGACCCAAAAAGTATCAGCCAGCCACACACACACTTTCCCAGAGGAATTAGACTGAAATTCCCAACCTCCAAAGCGTCAGCAAACCTGTCCTCCCTTGGCACTGGCAAACACAGGAGCAGTAATTCCTGAGGAAAACAGAGGGAAGACAGGCTGGAGCATTTACTAATCGCTCCACCTCCTCTAATCCTGATCTGGGAAAGTCAATATGCTAACACACACATTCCAATTCCCTCATCCCTTCCTTCAGCAGCCCCACGTTGGCAGAGGGCTCTGCTCAGCTGCCTACCTTCTCTGAACTCGTTCAGCAGCTCCTCCTTGGTCCAGTTGCAAGAGGTGATGAGGAAGAAGCCCTCTGGTTTCAGCACCCTGCCCAGGGATGCCACGTACAGCTGCCGCTTCCCCGCCGCGTCGCTGGGGTCCAGGCTGATGGCATCAAAGGTCCCCTTGTCAATGCAAATGTCAAAGCCTGACAGCTCAGCTGAAGGTGCCAGGAAGTCTTCTACCTAAACCAGAAGTCTGCAGCTGTGAGAACAATCTTCTGCTGCTGAATCTTTAATGCCAAGCAAGAGTTTGGGATACAAAGCTTCAATCCTGACAATGGGTGTGCTCAGGGAGGGGTAACTCACAGTGCCAGGGCAGCTTCTTTCTTCTCCACACATTGTGTGATGATCTATTTGCTGGAATCTAAAGCTCAAACTAACACACTCGAAGCTCATTCTTTAAATCATTATTTGTACTTTGATCCCTGCCATGTGCCAGGCACTGCACAAATGCAGGAGAACAGACAGAGCCTGCCACAAAGAGATTTTACAGCTGACACACAGGAGCAGAGACATCTCACAGGTAGGGAGCAGGAGGGTAGAAGAGCACAGCAGAGAGCTCAGAATGACAGGCAGACACAGAATCCCAGTGTGGCTGAGGCTGGAAGGGGCCTTTGGAGGTCATCTGCTCCTACCCATGCTCCAGCAAGGCCTCTCAAGCTTCCTGCTGTTCAGCAAATGGTAGGCATTCTATCACTTCAGGATTTCTTCCTCTACCTCAAGTCTGAAATTCAGAATGTAGCAGCTAAAATACAGAACTTGCCATTTGGTAAACCACTACCCTGCTCCAAGCAGGGGAACTCTTGTTCACCTTAATGACTATTACAAACAAAAAACAAATAAAGACCAAAAATCTTCCTGTAAATAGATTTATTTGGGTAGAGTTCTCTCACAAATGACTCTCAAAAGACATCATTCATTCAGTACACTGAGTACATCTGAATATCAATTAGCTCATTTAATCTTGGGCTCAATTGCTTTCTATTTCCTCAATTACCTTTCTCTCAAGACTTACCTTTAATTTAATGTTAGACATCCCTTCTTTCTCTCTTACTTTTTCTGAAAGCTGTATTGCAGAAGGTGAATAATCAATCCCTGTGAGATTCATGTAGCCAGACTTTGCCTAGACAGAAGCAAGAGAATCTTAATCAGTGTGCTAACAATTGTTTTTATCCAGCCAGAACATTCCCTACCTATAATCCATCTCATCTCTCCTCCTCTTAATAACAGGAAAAAACCCACAACTCACCTTTTAGTCATTTTTATACCTGTTACCATTACAAGAGCTCAATAGCTGAATGAGCTGGAATAACTTTATTCTGCCAAAAAAACCTCATCAAAATGACTGGTGACTGAAAGCTGGTTTATGTCAAATGGAAAACTGAGCACCAACTGGGAAAAGTAACACCCTGGAGGGGAACAGGCTCTCTTATCTGCACCAAAAGTAACTTAGAAACCAGGAATTTTCAGTGATGACGTGACAGATGCTGCAAAATAAGAGAAAAAATCCTCTCTGACATGTACCATGGGAGATTGAGCAATTATTTAGTTTATAACCCAAATTTTAAGAGCCAAAAGATGTAATACATTGCACTAGAACAGAAATCCACTGCAAAATCATACATTTTTCTAATTATTCATGCTAATGTCTATTTGAATACAACCATTTGCATGCTGCCAGGTGTCTGTATCAGCAATTTTCAGGCAGGTTATGCACCACATATAATAGCACACAGAGACTTTGTTAATCTAAGTTTGTTGGAGATAAGGATAACTCAGTTTAGGGAACTCAGTGAGATCCCAGCAGCCCTTTGGCAAAGCAGGTGGGCTCCTGGCATCAGCTGGAGCTGGGCACGTGAGAGGGGAGCAGGGACACACGTCCTTGCCCTGAGGCAGAGGCTGAAGGGACCAGCTTGGGGTAGAAGGTAGAAACTCAGGGTAGCCCACGTGTCTGGCAAGATGCAAACCTGATGGAAGAGCTCTGATCCTCTGGCCAGCTGCAGGTTGTCAGAGCACAGACAGGGAGGAGGCTGGGGTTTGGAAAAACACATGGAGTGCTGTTAAGCAAGCAGCTGCCTGTCTGCTTGTTCCAGAGGCTGACACCCCAGTTGCCAGGAAAACGATGAGGAGTTTCCACAACTGTCCTTCCTCCTTGCAGCAGCCCCTCAGGCCTGAGCTCGGTGCTAACCAGCTGTTCTGAACTGAGGGCTAATTGCAGCTGAACACAAAGCCACTCTTGTTTGCATGGGATGGAGAACATTTATTGCTCAGGCTCCTGCCCACGAGCCTCCCCAGAGCAAAGCAGGCTTCCTCAGATGCCTGTGCTGAAGGTTTGGGGGTGGAGGAGTGGTTCCCACAACAGCTCCTCTGTTTGCAAAGGAAAGGCTTGAGTCACTTCAGGGAGTTCCCATTCACTCCTCTAGTCTCGGGGGCAGAGAAGGAAGGTTTAGAGATAAACAACCTTAAATGCTGCAGAACCTGTAGGGCCTGACTGTGACAGGAAGGGATCCCTCACTTGTGCCAAACGTGACCACACTGCACCCTGCAGCTGCCCTGGAGGTGATTTTTCAGCAGCCTGCTGCTGCTGCTGCTTGGAGCAGGAGATTGAAGAGCAGAAGGAGTTTGGAACATTATCAGCTCTGCCCTGTGTTTAGGGCTGACACCCCCACTTGGTGAACACTCTCCACTTCAGAGATGATTCAATCTTCATTAGTGGTGACTCCTACATCACTTATAAAAATCAGAGGAGGCCAGAGCTTTCTGTGGCAGCAAGGTTTCCTCAGAAGAGCTGGAATTTTTGGAAGGCAAAAGAATTATGTCACGAATCCAAGCTCCCAGATCCCTGAAGTTCACAGGGATAATAAAAACAGCAAGGGGTGCCACTTATGTGATACTTATGTACCCTCAAGCAGCTCCCTTGCAGAGAGCTGCTACTCATGTCCCTATGACTGAGTTTTTTCCAGTATTGCCATTTCTATCCCATCATGGAGTCCAACTCCAATGGCAGAACAGTCCTATGGTAGCTGCCAAAAGAATTCCAATTTGATTTCCAAGCCTTGCAGCTAAAACACAAAAAATTCCTTTTACATCCTTTTACTAAGCAAGTGAGATGCTGAATTGCTCAGCAAAAATAAACAAGGTAATTTTTGAAGCCACTTTTCAAGAGGGAACTGGACTGATAATTTCCTATGAAAGAAAGTACTGTGAGGTGCTTAATGTAAGGGAGGAGGGTGCTCTCACAGGAGTTAATAGTTTTTAAAAGCTATCAGGCTGTCATTTTCCCATTATAGTATGAAAATTCAGTTCCCATTTGCAAGTGGAGTCAGTATAAAATGGAAGTCTTACAAATAAGATTTTTCTGTTGGGTACTTCAACCATGATAGAACTATCACTGCTCTCAACAATCACCATTATCAGGCTAATTTCTCTTAGTGAGAAGAGCAGTTTCTGCTTCTGGTGACATAAATTCTCCTGTGCTGTGGTGTAGCAGCCAGTCTCCATCAAGGCTTTAAAATCTTCTAAAATCAAAGTCCATGTTAAATAAAAATTCCACTTCAAACCAGGCTTTGACTTTCAGTCCTTCCAATTCCTACAGGAACCAATGGAGCCAAAGGGGAATGAAAAACAACAGAAGCTGTGACAATCTGACAGCCCCTTTCTTACCAACTCTCCTGCAGTATTACACCAAAAAAAATCAATCAAAACCAGGAAAAAATACTGGAATTCCTGAACATCTTGTGCACAACAAAAACTTCAGAACACACCTGATCAGATTTCCCACCCTGACAGAAATGGACACTTCTTCAAAAGAAGTGTCAACAACTTTTAAAGTTATTTACATAAAATCCCTTGGGTTTATCTACATTTTTGTATCAACAATGAGTGTTATTATCAGAACTGAGTGCAGAGAAAGGGTCTGTTTTTGTACATGAGGGTACTTTGTGAATTAATCAACTTAACTTCTTTATCTGGGGGAGTTTAAACAACAGTGGGAAGAAATGCAGATTTAAATGTGGGGAAACAGGAAGATAAAGTTAAAAGGGATGCTCAAGCTGATTGATTTAGAGAAAGACTTCAAATTTTGAAGCCTAAAGTATTGACACTTTTGGTGTTTCACACAGGTTACATGACTACCACTACCACTTGTGAGAACTGTATTTGAACTGCTCTGATTCTGTATAAAAAATACACAAAATTTGCAAAAATACCAACCAATTCAACCAGTAAAACACCATTCCCAGTCCCAATGTCAAGCACAGAGCTGTCAAGGGGGACCTTGTGCTTTTCCAGCCACCTGATTATGCGCACCATGCTTTCCTCTCCAAACCTGCAAAAAACAAGGGCTCAGGTAATTAAACCAGAGAAAAATAATGTGAAAAAGGTACAGCAAGTTTATTTCGTCACTCAGTCTCTTCAGCTTTTGCAAAGCCCTTTTTACTGTTACTCAAGTAAAAGCTGCTATAGCTCATATTTCATGTTTGCTTTCTTCAGATTGAAAATGAATCCTGCAGCCTTAAAATTCACTGAAACACCAACTCTGGCAGGTGAAAACATCCATATATTAAAAAAAGGAAGGAGCAAGGGCAACTTGTGTAGTTAAACCTGAGCTCAGGGATAAAAAGCACATTTGCCAGTAACATACAGCTCAATTACCAGCTCAATTTCTGTGTAATGACACTTGTCCAAGTGCAGCTGAGCAATCTTCACTGTGAAATTGGGCCAGAGAGGAACTGCTGGTTTCAATGGGAAAACTCCCCATCATTTTGTCACTAACTCGTTGTATTGCTGTCTGAGGTTTTGCAATGTCTTTTACAGTAAAGAAATGACAGAAACACTCTGCAGAAGTTATTTTGTTTACCAGATTTCCCCAGTATCTCCAATGTCTTGAAAAGTTTGCAGTTCTCTTTCGTAGGCAGCATCCCAGCTGGAGTTGGGAGGGAAGAAAGGAGAGGATATCATAATTAATACTGGGAAATATTTAGATGAAAGAGGGATGGGAAGAAAAATTGAAAGATAGATTTAGGTTGGATATTTGGAAGAAATTGACTATGAGGGTAGTGAGGCATTGGTCCTTAGCATAAGAAGAGCATGAACAGGTGGGAGAGAGTCCAGGGAATGCCTGGAGATCTCCAAAGGCTGAAGCCAGGCTGGGAGAGCAGTGGGTGGATTCACCTGGAGAAAAGGCTCTGGGGAGACCTCAGAGCCCCCTCCAGTGCCTAAAGGGTCCCCAAGAGAGCTGAGAGGGACTTGGGACAAGGGATGGAGGGACAGGACATAGGGAATGTCTTTAAGGTGAAAGTGGGTAGATTTTGATGGGGTATTGGGAATTAGGAATTGTTCCCTGGCAGGGTGGGCAGGCCCTGGCACAGGGTGCCCAGAGCAGCTGGGGCTGCCCCTGGATCCCTGGGGATGTCCAAGGCCAGGCTGGACAGGGCTTGGAGCAGCCTGAGACAGTGGAAGGTGTCCCTGCTTATGGATGGGATTTAAGGTCCCTTCCAACCCAAACTATTCCATGATTCCATGAAAGGCAGAGAGCACTCTATCCTCTGTGCAGCAGCACCACTCTACAGAATCACACATCCTCTAAACAAATAAACAACACATAAACCAGGGACCGGTTCGTGTCGAGAGAGGCACCTTAATCACCTTCCACGTCCCCTCCCCGCGCCGTGGGCCGGGCCGCCTTCCCCAGCGCGGGTGGCTCCGAGCCCCGTCCCGCCCGTGCCCGTGCCGTGCCCGTGCCCGTGCCCGTGCCCGCCCCGGTGGGGCACCCGCCCGTTCCCCGGCACTCACTGCTCCCTGGTGCCCAGCACCGAGGGGCTGAAGGGCTCGTCCCCGGCCAGCGCCATGCCCGGCCCGCCCCGGAACCAGCGAGCGCTGCGGGCGGAGCGGCCGCGGCCGCTCCCGGGCGGGAGGAGCCGGCCTCGCTGATCCGGCCGTGAGGGGGGCGCAGGCACCTGAGTGGTTTATAATGTTTTAAAACCTGATCCGGCCCGCTCCGGAGCCTGGTGTGGTTTCTAATGTTTCCCAATCCTTGCGGTCACCTAAAATCCCGTCTGGGTTGGGTGGGGTATGGGGCCACCCGGTCTGTGCAAGGTGTCGCTGCTCATGGCAGGGGTTGTAATTAAATGGCCCTGAAGGTCCCTTCCAGTTCAAACCGCTCCGTGATTCCATGAAAATCAGCTCAATATTTATATTCTTTTCGATATTTATTCGTTGCAAGTGTCACAGACGTTATTGCTGTTACAAGGTTTATTGCAAGGTGTTTTAATAAGGAAATGAGAGTGATAAACAGCCCTGCTGCGCAGTTGCCTCCTGTACAGCTCCGTGTGTGTGAACCGCGGCGTTTCTTCCCAATCTCCCATGCATCCCTGCCCTCTGGCACTGGGAGCCATTCCCTGTGTCCTGTCCCTCCATCACTTTTCCCCAGTCCCTCTCCAGCTCTCCTGGAGCCCCTTCAGGCCCTGGAAGGGGCTCTGAGCTCTCCCTGGAGCCTTGCCCAGGTGAACAGCCCCAGAGCAAAGTGGGTCCATCTCGCTCATCACCTTTGTGGCCTCCTCTGGACAAGCTCCAGCACATCAATGTTCCTCATGACAAGACTGACATTGAGGGGCTGGAGCGTGTCCAGGGAGGAGAACACGGAGCTGGGGAAGGATCTGGAGCCCCAGGAGAGGCTGAGGGAGCTGGGAAGGGGCTCAGCCTGGAGCAAAGGAGACTTAGGGGGGACCTTGTGGCTCTGCACAACACCTGACAAGAGGGGACAGCCGGGGGGTTGGGGCTCTGCTCCCAGGGAACAGGAACAGGAGGAGAGAGAATGGCCTCAGGCTCGGGCAGGGCAGGGACAGGTTGGGCATCAGGAGGAATGTCTCCGTAGAAGAGGTTGTTAAAGGTTGGAAAGGGTGAGGAGTCTCCACCCCTGGAGGTGTCCAAGGAACCCCTGGACGCGTCGCTCAGTGCTCTGGGCTGGCTGACAAGTTGATGATCGGTCACAGGTTGGGCTCGGGGGTCTATTTCAAACTCAATGTTCCAACTGCTCCCACCGTTTCCCACCCTGCCCATGAGGATGCCCCACTGCCCCCCCCAGGACTACACTCCCCATGACGCCCCGCGGCGCCGCCGGAAGCGGGCGTGCGTCCGGCGCGCGTGCGCCGTGGCGGCGGCGGCGGCGGTGTGTCCGTCATGGCGGCGTCCATCTCCGGCTACACCTTCAGCTCCGTGTGCTACTGCAGCGCCAACAGCAGCGCCGACCACGTACGTGCCCCCCGCCGCCGCCCCGGGCCCGCGGGGCTCCCTCACGCTGCACCCCGGCCGGCGGCTGCGCTGCGGTGCTTCCAGGCCGCGCCGCCGCCGGTGGGGCCCGGCCGCGGGTCACAGCGGGCGGGGGCGGCCCCAGACGGACACAGCGGGGCGGGATGTGGGGTGTCCGGCCGGGATGTGGGGTGTCCGGCATGTGGGGTGCCCCGGATGCTCCGCGGGGTACCCGGGATACGGGCTGCCCGGTTTCCTCCTTCCCGAGTAGGATGTGGGGTGTCTCGGCTGCTCCCTGGGATGTGGGGTGCTTCTCCCGCAGCGTGGGGTCCTCAGGATGTTCCCCCCGGCTTGTGGGGTGCCCGGGGTGCTTCTCCTGCAGTGTGGGGACCCCAGGATGCTCCCCCCGGGATGTGGGGTGTCTGGGTGGGGTGTGGGGTGTCGGAGAGGGATGTGGGGTCCGGGGGATGCTGCCCCGGGATGTGGGGTACCAGGGGTGCTCCCCTTGGGATGTCCGGGCTGTTCCCGGGATGTGGGGTGTCCAGGCGGGATGTGGGGTGCCCGGGCGGGATGTGGGGTGCCCAGGCGGGATGTGGGGTGCCCGGGGTGCTCCCCGTGGGATGTCCGGGCTGTTCACGGGATGTGGGGTGCCCGGGCGGGATGTGGGGTGCCCGGGGTGCTCCCCGCGGGGTGGGGCTCCCGCAGGGCACGGGTGGTGGCAGGAAAACGCTCCTGTAAAAGCTCCGTGAGAGGCTTTTCCAGCAGCTGCGACCGACCACGGGCGCAGTGCAGAGCCGGGCTGTTCCCGAATCGCTGGCTTTTGTTGGCACCTTTTTAGCCTGAGCTTGCTCTTTTCCTCTGCACCTTGTGCCAAAACCTCCTGATTCCAGCTCAGTCTCCTTCTTCATTTTGGGTGGGGATGGAGAATAAATTAATGTACCTTAAAATTGCCTTACTTTTAAATTGCCTCCTGGGTTTTGCAAACCCTGGTGTTGGTCAGGGTCCAGCCCAGGCTCCACACTAAAATTTGTGTAAGTCCCTGCAGGTTTGAACTCCTCTTCTCTTGGCTTTATTGGAGCTTTTTCCCCCTCGTATCTGGGGCTGAGCCCTCCCTTTTGTCATGTGTTTGCCTTGTGTGGGTTGTGTGTAGAATGTTCCTTCTGGACAGCCCATCCCTGTAGTGTTGTAAAAGGATGCTGGCAAAACAAAAAAAACAGCTTTGGTAAAACCTCAGGGCAGTTTCTACTCACTGCAGCTCAGATGTGTCTTTCAAACTTCATCTTTGTTTCAGTTTGAAGCTAAGAAAGTTACAGTAAATGGCTGCATATAGTGGAATATTTTTCTTTTAAAATTGCAGGAAGGATTTCTGCTGGGAGAGGTGAGACAAGAAGAGACTGTCAGCATTAGTGATTCACAGATCAGCAACACTGAATTTCTACAAGTGATAGGTAAGTGATGTAACTTTGAGTTGTTCTGAAACAGGCACTGCTCAGGTTTCATGTTTTCAGGAGGTTTCATTAAGAATTGTTTCTGGTGTGAGGCACTCACAGGATTGTCTGTGTCAGACCTCCAGGATCACATTTGCCACAGTGTCTGTGTGTTTGTGCTTGGGATGTGAAGAAAGGAAACAAATCTTTGCAAGTTACAGGGGTTTCATGCACCTCCTTTTATGGAGGAAAGATTATTTATTGAAGATATTTGTCTGTATTCCGTGATGGAAAAATTACTGTGAGGAGTTTCCTGCTTGATACAGTTGCCTAAATACAGCATGTGCTCAAAATAAAATTACTCCATTGCTTGATTTACTGGTACTGAAAGGGGCAGAAGCAGGTTTGGATGGATGGCTGGGAGTTGGTGACATCATAAACTGTCACAGCAGGACTGGACAAGGAATATCAGTCAGACAATTTGTTGATAAGCACAAGTTCTGTGCAGCTGATGTGTTGTGAAAACTGAGCAAAGATCAAAGATCTTGCTGTTAAGTGTTGGTTGAAGGAGATTTTTAAGACATGAGTGAGAAGCTGTTGCATGTTTGGTTTATAGAAAACAGGAAAGCCCTGAAAGAAAACTGCCTTTTTGTTTTTGGATATAAAACCAGCTGTTAAAATAGATTTAAACCTCCTTCCATACCTGGCTTTGTGGCTGTGATCCCAGATACCAAAGCAGGGTGTGCATGAAGCTCAGTGAGAACACAAACAGCTCTGGATTGACTCTCAGATGTTACTCTGGCACAAACAGGTGATCTGTGAACATGTGCAGTGGCACCATGTTACATCCCAAGAGATTTCCCACTTGCAATGGTGATGGGTTTGTGCTCTGGGCTCCAGAAGGTTCAGCAGTTTCCTGTCCTGGTTATTCCCTAGAGAACCTAGGGAATAACCCCCTAGGTGGTGAATTGACTGGCAAGTGTCAGGTATGAGCTAAATTACAGAAGATAAAGGCACAACATTTGTTGTGTTTGCATATAATCACTGCCAGAGTGCTGCTGATGGCTCTGTGTGTTCAGGCAAAACTGGCAGAGCCAGTCATTTTTAGGTTTTTAAATTAGACCTTGCTCTTCAGTGGTCACTGATCCTGGTTATTGCTGGCAGTGATGTCACCACCTGCAGCCTTGGCCTGGTTTCCTAAGCCAAGTGTTTGTGGTGTTAAAAACTGCTCCCTTTTTAAATCACCCCTTTGTCACATTATTGGTTACAGTGAGAATGGAAATCACCCACTCCTGAAGACCTGCTGGATATTATTTTTATTTGCCATTTTAATTAATATTCATCAATTTAACTCTTGGACTGCCAGTTCAGCTCATGAGATTGACAGTTTTGTGGCACTGTTGTCACAGATGACTTTTCACTTTCTTTTGTGTCTCCTTAGTGGTGGTGTTTAAATATATCTATGTGTACATAGTGTGTGTACTAGATACATATATATATATATATATAAAAATAAGTCAATGTGTAAACCTTAAATTTAAAATGTTGGCTGATTGATGGGGTCTGAGCAGGAGGCTTCTTGTTTCCTGTTTCTCAAAACACAAGGTCTGTGTACAACATCATCACCCAAGAACCAAGAATGTTGTTGCAGTCAATGTATTTGCTGGAAGGAATTGTTCTAAGCTGGAATAATTGTACTTAAAGGCTTTGTTAGCAGCTTGTTTCCACAGATGCCTGCATGGTGGTGTGAAAATATTAGAGTTGATACAATTTTATGTCAAATAAAGGAGTCAGTATCTCCAAGAGCAGCATCCTGAGGAGCTCTTGCCAGTGAGGATGTGCAGTTTGTCAGGCAGTGTGCCTGGAATGGGTGCTCAGGGCCTTGTTTTGATAGACAGCAAATGTGCTGAGATATGGATGGTGCTGGCTGCTGTTCCTGGGAGCTGTGATCCATCCTGGTGCTCTGCTGGGGAATCACTGCAGGGAGGCAGAGCCTGAGCAAAGTTCTGCTGAACCCCAGTGGGGCTCTGCTGCTGCAGCTGCAAATATTTGTGCTGTGTGGTCACAGAATCCCAGGGGGCTTGGCTTGGGAGGGACCTTCAACCCCAGCTCCTGCCATGGGCAGGGACACCTTCCACTACACCAGGGTGCTCCAAGCTCCTAAAAAATGAGTCATGCTT